TAGGTATGAAATATTTCTTTTGGAGCCAGAACACATACATTTTTACATTTTGAGAATTATTTGAGTTTGATAGTACACAAAGTTAAAGGTGACAAAATTAATTAGATTTACTAGCTTATAGGGATAAGCTTCTTTCATCCAGACAGGATAATTTCCAGCAAGACACATGTAAAGGAACAAACCAGTGAGACATAATAAGAAATATTAACTCTATTCAACTTGTCCTTTTTCAATCCTCACATTTATTTTTCATAAGACACTTAAATTTACATGAAGGTAAATGAAAATGTCATAATTTGGAATACTGTGATTTTTTACAGCTGAAACAATTGAAAAGTTAACTATTATCATGTCAATTATAAGACAGAGCTGAAAGCTTTAAAAATACACTTTTGGGGACCAGGACTTTAGCTCAGTGGTGCGGCACCTGCCTAACAAACATAAGGCCCTGGGTTTGATTCCTGGTACCGTGGCACATAGAAATGATTTTTAAATTTAATGACCTTGAAAATGTTCACAGTTATTTTAAATTATAATTTAAATGCTGTATACATGGCTAGAAAATTATTTGCTTAGAATGAAAAAAATTATTTAGAATGAAAAGCAACAGTCTCCAACTCTGCTACGCTAAGGCAACCATATTTAACCATTAATTTTAAAATTTCAAATGTTAAAATATATATTTCTAATAGTGTTTTTTTTTACTTTTTTCATTCATGAAATTTAGACATTGTTTTCTGATTTCCTCATTGCAAGATTAAAATTAACTTATCCAACACTGCTTTCTTTCATGTCTCCTTCTAGTATGACTTTCTGAGTATTTATAGTTCCGCTGATAGACCTCTATCAATTCTGCACATCCAAGACTCATGGTTGTTTCTATTTTTTAATTGTAGGAAAAATCCTTCTGAATCATATTATTTTAAATATGAAGATAATAAACTGCTAGATTTTTAAATCTATTCTCACAATTTTTAATTCTCTAGCAATGTGGACTTTCTTTTTTTTCTTCTATGTAATGGTCACATTTTGTCTTTTCTGTAATCACAGTGCAGATGAAACATCTATCAAGTGTTTTATAATTAGTTTATAGATTGATTATACAAGTAGAAAATGAGTGATTACATTATCATGATATTGCTTATATTTTTCCTTGGACCCTAAGTGATAGAACCAATTATAGTTTCTCTCTAACTACTCTAGCATACTATTCAAAAATAATCTTTTCCAACCATCATTATTCTCTTAACCAGGTTAAATTTTGCTACAGAGCCTTAGTTTTTCTATATATAAATTTTACTTACCTCCCTTTTTCAATCATTAGATTCATTTTAACTGGTACATAAAATATAAAATATAAAACATTCATTTTGATGAGATATCATGTCATTCTGATACATGTGCATACTATGTAGTGTTGTAATGTGTCATTTCTTTATGGTGAAAACTTTCAAAATCCTTTATTAAGCTTTTCAAAATGTGTGGTACATTGTTGAGACATACTCACCCAACTGTGAAATTACCAGAACACACTGCTGCTAATTGTAACGTGGTAGCTATTTGTCAACCTCTCCCTGTACTTTCTTCTTTTCCCAGCCTCTAATAAGCACCTTTGTGCTCTCAACTTTTATGCAATCAACTATTTTGAATTCCACATGTGAGTGAAATTATATGCTACTTGTCTTTCTGTTCTTGGTTTATGTCCCACATAATAATGATTTCTAGTTCTATCTGCCCATTCTCACTAGGAGTGACAAGATTGTATTTTTCAGTCTGAAAAAAGACATTGTGTACATGTGCCACATTTTCTTCAACTATTCATCAGATGATGGATTTAAGGTGTTTTTTTTTTTATTTCATGACTATTGTGAATGGCCTTGCAACAAAAACAGGAGTACAGATGCGTTGTCTATGTATGCTTTTCATTTTTGTGGATTTGTTAGCCATCCCAGTGGTGAGATGGCTGGATCATATGGGTCATGTGCTAATTACATTGTTAATTTTTAAGAAACCTTTTTAGTCTTTTTCATAATGGCTACATTTATTTACATTCCATAAATGCATTGCTGGAACTTCCTTTTTGGAGTTGACTGTGAATTCTGGACCAAGGGTTCTCAGACCCTACTGCACACTTCTATTGTGGGCCAGGGGTAATTACTTCCTCCACCCTGTGTCTTCTTTTGGCTTTGTTTACTCATTTTGCTGAAGTATATTCTCAAGCAATTTCTTAAGAAGGAATCATTAGAAAGTTTCCATGCCAGCAAATATCTCCTAGAATCTCCTTCTGAACGTTCCTTATAAACCTAACAGCACTGGTCAATGTCTTCTGGCTTTGAGGATGGGTAATAATGAGCCCAATTTTAGTTTTATCATTTTGTTGGTTTGTTTGTAGGTGACAAACTCTGTTTCTCTGAAAAGTTCCAACTTCAGTTTATTCTTGATCTTCTAATATTTGGCAGTAATTTTGTTAAAAAGCTTTAAAAATATTCATATGCTGTGTTCTTCTAGTCTAATACCAACTTCTACAAATGAAAAAAATCTATATAATATCGGGGCTGGTGATTTAGCTCAGCGGCATAAGCACCTGCCTTGCAAGCAGGCGGTCGTGAGTTCGATCCCCGGTACTGATAAAAATGAAAAAGCCAAAAAAAAAAAAATCTATATAATATCTTTGAAATTTGTATCTATGCTGTCTTTCTCCTATTCTGGAAAATTTGTACTTTAGAAGTTGGAGCATCTAGATTGATCATATCTGTCCCCATATTCTTACTTTATTATTATCTTTTCAGTTTAATTTTTTTATTTTCTAACCAACTTATCCCTCCCAGCACCTTGTGTCTGTTTTTCTGAGTCCTTTGCTTCTCTTCTAGAAGGGAGAGCCTTTCCCTCCTCAGGGGCTTCCTCCTCTTCATGGATACTGATGAGATTTATGTTACCCAGGGTTTCTAATGACTGTTGCCCATCATCTCTTCCCCCTAGAAATTTGTTGAAGCCTCTCCAAAAACAAGTTTTGTACGATTTTCTTTACTTTCAGTTTTTAGGTTTTTCATGTTTCACTCCTTTTTTTATCACTTTAATGAGAAATGGAAAAGAAAAAAGATATAAACACATAGTACTTCATAATTTAAAACTAGAATTAAACCAGGCTTGGTGGTACATGCCTCTAATCCCAGCATTTGGGAGGCTGAGACAAAAGGATCATTGTGAGTTCAAAACCAACTTCAAAGTGAGCTCAAGGCCAGCCTGAACCACATAGTGAGACTCTGTCTCAAGAAGATGAAAACAAATAAACAACCAGAATTAATATTCTCATGTTTTAAAAATATCACAGTTTTGTTGTGTTTTGGGAGGAGTACAAACATTTCTTTATATTTATTTCAATCTATTTAACAATTAAATTTTTCATACTCTTATCTGTTTATTTAGGATGTTTACATAAAACATCATTAAAGATTGTATTACTTTCATTTATTGTATTTTCAGATCTTATACTTAACTATGCATTTGGAATGCCTTGCCACTTTCTAGCTCAAATTGGTACTATTTAAAACATGTATACTTCATCTGTTATAACAAGTCGAACTGATACATTCTAAATAGGTTTAACCCAATGTTTTGCTCTTCAATAGGAATAATCATAAAGTTTTCCTCCAGGCTTATCAGTTTGAAAAATTCAAAAGTAATTTCATATATAGTGATACCATCACATTTAGATCCCTTCACCAAAGAGAATAAGTGTATTCATTTGAGACTTTGTAAAGTACTAGATGACTTACTTTGTAATTATTGCTGAAGGAATAGTGGAAAACGTATTATGATTCATTATCTTCCTAACTGCACAGCTCGTGTGCTACAAACTGGAAACTATTCTTATGAGTAACACATAGAGAGAAAAGTCAGCCAAACTAACTTCTTATTTTATTCTTTTTACATTTGAACACACAGGAGTTTAACCAGAAATTTATCAGTTTTAAGAGTAAAGAGAGGGAAGGCTGGTGATTTAGCTCAGTGGCTCAAGCGTTTTCCTGTTAAGTGTGAGGTCAGGAGCTCAACCCAAAGGTGGGGGGGAAGAACAAAGAGAGAAAGAGAGAAGCAGCAGAACAAATAAAATTAAAAAAATCACAAATAATAAAAGAAAAATAAATGGAAATGAATATTTCTTTGTTTTGATCACGGGCAAACATTTATTATAGGAAATCAGATTACATTTTACAATGTGTATAATAAATCGCTTTTAAACTGTACTATTTAGAAATCTCACAAAAAATGCTTGAGTTTCTGTCTGACTTGGGTTTTGATATGTATGATGTCCAAGCTATTCCTAAGATTTCTTTTGCACATAAGACTATACATGCACAATTTATTCAAAAAGTCCCTTTTTTTAACTATATATTGCTTTTCTATACATTTGACTGAATATGACCTTACTAAGGGCGTGAGATTTCAGATTTTTGTTCCTTGCATATTCCTGGCTGTTCTATTGGGACCTATTTCTACATATTTACCCCTCAGAATTCTACCATTTTTAGTTGGATTATGACTTAATATTTTATTGTTATATTCTATAAGGATATTTTTCACAAACATAAAATGAGAATTAACTTGTAGAGTTCTTTCTGACTTGTATAATTTACACATGGTCACAAAGTATAGGAAGACAGAAAAATGGTTATTAGTGATCAGATACACAGGTCAATGGGCAATTTGTTGTTTTTCTGACTTCCGAGAAGAAATACTGTTAAACTGAGGTGATGACAGTGAATTTCCTCATTTCTTTCTTTCCAGATTATAGAAACCATTTCTATCTTAAGATTTCGACTACTGAAGAAGCAACTACTCATGGTTCAAATTATGATTAAATCACAGCAACTGATTCGTTAAAAATATAAACAATTAATTTCATGGAATTATGTCTGTTTTATGATTCTTTACTTTGTTAAGTGTATTGCTGGAACCATAGGTCTTGTTCACTAAACACACTTATATTTCTCTAATTTCAGCATGTGGCAAATTGATGAAAATCACAGGCCCCATTACAGTCAAGACATCTGGAACTCGATTTGGTGCTTGGATGACAGATCCTTTAGCATCTGAAAAAAATAACAGAGTACGTTGCTTCCACAAATGCCTTTGCTTAGATTTGTTTTTTATTTATTCTTTTTCTCTACTGGACAAGTCGTTTTCTTGAGGAATATTAGCTTCAACTTCATTGTGTCATATTGTTTGCAAAAAAAAAAAAAAAAGGAAAAGCAGATCAACTTTAAACAGTACATTTAGTTGTTTCTTATCCACAGAGACCATATCAATGTTTTTACAGTGTACAATTTTACCATGTGGCAGCAGGTCGGTAGTACAATAACTTGCCTTTTGAACCAAGAGATTGTGGCACTAATATACATTCTCTCTCACTGTCTTTATTTTGGAATTCTCAAAAAAGTTCAAACTTTATTTAATCCATTTTTTTCCCCTTCTTCTTAGGTCTGGTATATGGACAGTTACACTAACAATAAAATCGTTCGTGAATACAAGTCAATTGCAGACTTTGTCAGTGGGGCTGAATCAAGGACATACAACCTCCCTTTCAAGTGGGCAGGAACTAACCATGTGGTCTACAATGGCTCACTGTATTTTAACAAGTATCAGAGTAATATCATCATCAAATACAGCTTTGATGTGGGGAGAGTGCTAGCCCAACGAAGCTTGGAGTATGCTGGTTTTCACAATGTTTACCCATACACGTGGGGTGGATTCTCTGACATCGATTTAATGGCAGATGAAATCGGACTGTGGGCTGTGTACGCAACTAACCAGAATGCAGGCAATATTGTCATCAGTCAACTTAACCAAGATACCTTGGAGGTGACGAAGAGCTGGAGCACTGGCTACCCCAAGAGAAGTGCAGGCGAATCTTTCATGATCTGTGGGACACTGTATGTCACTAACTCCCATCTAACTGGAGCCAAGGTGTATTATTCCTATTCCACTAAAACTTCCACCTATGAGTACACAGATATTCCCTTCCATAACCAGTACTTTCATATATCCATGCTTGACTACAATGCAAGAGATAGAGCTCTTTATGCCTGGAACAATGGCCACCAGGTCCTTTTCAATGTCACCCTTTTCCATATCATTAAGACTGAGGATGACACATAGGCAAAAGTGATTTATTTTTCTTTATTCAAACACTACCATTTGTGATAAAATCTACATGACCTTTTCTTGCTGATTTTTCATTACTCTAGCTTTTCATCACTTCTCCAAAGCAAAACACTTTTTAATTGTAAATTCTGTTTCAAAAAATAGCTGAGTCTACATTAATGTGTTAGAAACACATCTTGACCCTAAAATTACAAGAACTATCACGTCCTTGTCATGAAAAACGCTAAAAAGAGTTTAAGTGGCTAAAATCATAGTTTTGCAAAAGATTAATGATCTGCCTTATATTAGAGTCAGAGACTAATGGTGGCTTAAATGCATGAATGTCTTTTTTCCTTTAATTCTGTCATTTTTTACTGTCTTTTGCTCCACATCAGGAAATATTTTGGTAGGAACTAGAGTTGAGAAAATAAGCACTTTAGTCCTATTTATTTCTAGAAAAGATTTAGGGATTTTATTTGTACAGAAATATAATATTAATCATTTTGCTGTTAACACAATTCTCTGATGCGGTGCTGTACAGTCATTTTTAAATCTCTTGCTAACATTTTATTGCAATATGTATTTTTACCATTGTAACCACCATTGTGCAATTGTATTTCTTCACTTCTGTGAAAGTAATATTTTTTATAAAATACACTGAAACTTCATCTCAGTAATAATTTGAGTCAATTTTCAAGTATGGTCAAGAAAGATCTTCTTGACTTATCCCTCTACAAAAGCACTATAAACTAAAAAGAAAATCAAACTATATTATTTTACATTTAGTCTTTATGGCAAGTTTATTTGAAAATTCAGTATCAGTATAGCCAAGTTACTCTGTTCATTCAAAGCAACCTGTATAGCTTCTTGAAAAATACAGCTAAGTACAAAAATTTTATCTGAGTTGACTCTACTCACTTATTATACAGAAGACATTTTTTATTCTTCACAATTAAATATCTTAATATTTTAATTCATATTTTACTTGCAACTTGAAATAATTTAATTTATTGTATTATAATTCTAAAAAAGTCCAAAAAAGTAAATGTATATTCTTAAAAAGGGGGAGAGTTATTGGCAAGACTTGCACAAAAAATTATAGAGAGACCTGAGAATTGCCACTTTGATTTTAAATGTGTAAGTAATCAATTTATAAATGACATCCGAAGGTAAGTCCTCAGAAATAATATAACAAAAAGAGAAAATTTAAATACTGTTATGTTATTAATTCCACAATATAGCAAACATGTTCTTGAGTTTGCATATTCTTTCTATATACTTTTAAGATTTTCCCTAAGGCAGCTTTATGGAAACTAATAGGAAACAATTTTAAATTTTAAATCTATAGTCTATAATAAATAATACGTAGCTTAAATTATAAGTGGTTAGTTCCACACATAACAAACACCAAAACTTCTTTTGAAAAATAGGGCCATATTCAGATAAAGCATTACATAAAGAAATGTTCATATTTAAGGTAATTCATTCTGAATATAGCAGATAAAACATCATTTTTAAATATTTCATTGTCAAAATTCTAGGAGTACACACCCGAGTCTTGAAAATGTTAAAGTTTAATAAAGATTTGTGAATTTTTTCCTACAAAAAATTTGCATGATTTGATGATCACTTTGAATTCTTTTGCAATGTTGCTGCTGTTTCCTTTAAAAATTTGCATAAGTTCCCCACTGCTGTAGAGATTTGGAAAGTTTACTACATTTATATGCCATACGACACACACCACAAAAATAATCATTGATCTGTATGTAAGTTTGTATGAGAAAATAAAATAACATTAATTTCAGAATAAATGGAATTTTTAGGTAGCTGGCATCCAATAAATAGCTTCATCTTGCTTTTAAAAAATAATGTTACATAGCATCACATACATTCAAAATATGGATGATTAGAGCTCATTTGTGAGGTGTGCAGTTTGTAAAGCACCTTATTGTGTTTTGTGTAAGATTATATCACCATATCCAATTTCCAATGTATGTGCTGCTGGAACAAAGATGTTATTGTCACTAGAAGTGGAGGTAACATTAGTTTAAAAAATGTGACTTGTATTAAACATACACAATTTAAAAATATTTTTCTTAATAAATTATTAGTTCTGTGCCTGAAATAAATAATAATTTACTTTCATCGCTGTTTTTTAAATATACAACAAATAAAATGAATTTTATGAGAGAAATAATGAGTATTTTAAATTCATTCGTATAATCCTACTCAGAAAGTAAATTCTACTCAGAAAGTCTTACTGTTCAGTGAACTGTGTATTTGGTATTTTCAGAATTAACCAAATCATTAACAATTTTCATGTCATCCAAACAATATTGCATTTATGGCTTGACTGTGTTTGTGTGTTATTTGTATTGTGCACTTGAATCATAAAGCTTATTACTTGTACCTCAGCTTATATCTATGGGTTCATACAATGGTACTATTTCAATGCATTACAAATATGTAGAAATAAAAGAAAATAATAGCAGATGCATTATATACATAATAACGAATAATTAGTTATGATTCTTATCTCTATACTCAAGAGTTAATTCACCATCATAATGAACAGTATTTTTTCTGACAAATTCATATATTCAGAAGTTAATGTTGGCATGTCATTGATACTAACTCCTCATGATAAACAATTATTCATAGTTGAAACAGACTACAATCTTTGCAGTTACATATTTTTCAAATAGAAAAGTCATTTTTAAGTATAATTGTATAAATGTGTGCCTATTTATTGAACACTGGTTCTTTTGAGCTACTAAGGTAAGTTTTACATATGAAAATTCTTAAGAATCATTCTCCTTAAAGAATAGATTTTAAAAAGATATCTGGTCTTTTTTAACACTCATAATTGCCAAATTGTTCTTGTTAATGTTACATTTGAATGCAACTGACAGCAAAATAAAATGTGTCCCTTCAAGTTAGGGCAATTACAAAATATATAGCATTTCAGAGTTCCTAAAAGCTAAGCCTTTTAGAAGTGGTACTTTTGAAAACAGAATAAAAAACAACATCTTACTAACTTCATGAATTAATTATACCTTTTGCCACGCTAACAAGTTGAGTTCCTATGACATTATCAAACAACATTTAAAGACAGAGTATACATTGTCTTCTTGATCATCATTTAAGTGAGCTACAAGGAGACCTACTCTACAGTAGTCTACCTCCTGCTAGAATCAGAGTGCATAAATTGATAGCCAATATTTTATGGAAGCCATAAAATGATATAAAACCTTAATCACCAACTGTTTATTGCTAGAAGCAGTTATGCTTGCTTCAAAAACCCAGAATCACTACATACCCCTCAGCTCAGTAAACCCTAACCATACTGAGGTTAAGATCAGGAACTAGGCTTTATTTCCAAAATTTAATCCAATTCAGTACAAACCTGTAAGATAATATTGTCATGATCCATAGATTCAGAGGTCTGTGTGTTCTAATCTCTTCTTTTGCATTATTTAAATAGTACTAGAAACATAAGATGAAAACATTAAGATACTGAAGAAAAACCAGTATGCATGAAATCTGTATTTTTCTTAGAAGTCATGAATTCAATTTATAAAAACCTAATGAATAAAGACTATAAAATTCTTTTCTCTATGGTTTTTCTGATTAGAATATCCACCTCCAAAGTGAATTTAACAACCTGATTTATCTTTTGTTTGGTATATCCCTGGCCCTAACTTGATTTATCTCACATTGGAAATCATCTTATGCCACTTACTCCTTTTAGTTTTTCTGTTTTGTCAGGTTTAGGAAAATTTTAATCCTGTTTGGAGTCCGTTCTGTATCCAAAGTGTCTAACTAGTTTGATATGAAACTTACCTCCTTGGATGCTCAGTTCATCAAGTGCCAAATAATTTTTCAAGTATAAATTGTTATTCAAAGTAACTTGATGTGATGTAAAAAGTAATTGTTTATGCTCTTGTCAGGAATACACAACTTTTATCACTGCAAACATCTTAAAATATTACTTCTGAGGGGCTGGGGATTTAGCTCAGAAGAATAAGCGCTTGCCTTGCAAGCAGGCAGTCGTGAGTTCGATCCCCGATACCGATAAAAAGGAAAAAGAAAAAAAATATTACTTCTTGGTAGAAATATGAAACAATACAATGAATATGGAAGAGTTCTTCGGAGTACCTCAATGCTGGAAGGGGTTTGCTGAAAAACCACACATATACATGCAATTCAGTACAGTGTTGCACCCCTACCATGTCATGGTATGCCCAGAAGAATTTGCATCTGTTTTTTAAGAAATTAAATGTTACCGGAATATATCATGCACTACCTAAATTGAGACTTGCAAATATTTTAATCAAAAGATTTTCACAGAAAATAAATGACAAACATCTGACAAAAGAGCAAGAAATTAGTTCAATTAAATATTAGTCACTTTAAAATTTTTTCACACTGCAGTAACACATTTTCTGTTAGCTGTTTGTCTATATCTTTCTTGACATCACATAAATTTATACACATTACCTATAAGCAATGTACACACTTTAAAATTTATAATGATTACACAGTTATTTTAAAAGCATTGTTTCTCTGGTATGAGAAACAAAAAGTGTAAATAAGGACCAAAATGTGTATTAGGTATTGTGAAATAGGAAGAAAATGTTCAAATAAGGCAGGTACAAGGGAGAGGGCAGACGGACAGAAAAGAAGGTAAAAGTTAAAAAAAAAGTGAGAAAAGAAGGGAAAAGTGGAAACAAAGCTTTTGTAAACTGAGAAGGAATGAAGGGTTGAAGGGAGAAGAGGAAATAGGAAAAGAAGAATCAAGTTATATCATGGACAGGTAGAAATTCTCCACGATGAATGTGATCATTTTGTATATCTAAAATGTACCAATAAAATCTGACAGAAGAAAAAAATTTTTTTTAATGTATGATGCATTGAAAACACTTTTACACGTGAAAATAGTTAGGCAGTATGTGCTACTACATGCTGTAAGTGCTAGGGACACAGCAGTCAACAAATAGTCTTCATGTATTGATGTCCTGGTTGGAACAGGCTACAACAAAAATTATGAAAAATAACTTCTGTTGGATCAACCACTATGAAAGAGATTATAAGAGTATTTATAATACAGAGTGATTAGATGTTTTCCAGGAACAGGATGAGGTAGAGAATGATGTTTAGAGGGAACAGTTTAGAAAGGTCTCCCCAAAATACTACATGCCATGCTAAATTCATTCAAATAATGAAATGTCATCATTTGTTCCACATGAAAAGTTTGACTTTTTTATTCCTAGAAATTCTGCAATCAAATATTTCTAATATTTTTTATGGTAGAGGTTTCATGGTTTTGATATACTTAGTTCTTTAACATAGAGCTCAGGGGATGGTTTATAATACTGATGGCATATGCCAAATTTAATATGTAGCAGTGGTTGTACATATTTTCTGGTAGAGGAATTGCAAATCTTATCAGATTTCAGAGAAAGCCATTTTACAAAGGACCATGGCTCTATTGATCCAATCATAATTTAATCATGATGCATAAAATACTCATATTTTTATGACAAGCACTGAATGTGATGTGTTGAAGTTCTCATGAACACCAATTTGGTTGTTGATTAAAACAAATGAACATATTAGTATTGTTTTTAAGTATTATTTTATTTTCTTTAGCAGTGAAGATTAAATTTTTTCCTTTACAGAGAGTCTTACTATATTTGGACTGGATCGAGTTTTATTCAGTGATCCAGTTTTTTTAGGCACGTTTTTGTCAGATTTAGTGACCAGAGAATTTCTACTGATCACTACATTACATTTATTTGAATCTAGAGAGTACTCTCTTCTAATTCCTGTGCAGCCTTTTGTTAGTACTGTTAGACACTAACTGGAAGAGAGTAGATGCAGCAAATTAAAATGCGAAGTTCTTTTGTGAAATTAACTACTGAAGCAGTAATCTAGCAGAAAAGAAAGGTACTAACAGTTGCCATGAATTATAAAGTGTTTTAGTTGACATGCATTTGATCTAGAGTACAAATTCAGAATCGTTCTTTTTAAAATTTTTTTATTAAAAAACACAACAAACAAAACTCCAGCCATGCTTGTACAGATAGAGTCATGCTGAGCAAGGAAATGAAACAGTTTCTTCCAGCAATGTTGATTTTTACTTTTTCCTCACAGAGGATTTGAAAAAACATGTGCATTATCTTCCACTGCAATATTAACCAAAAAATAGAGTATTTTATTCTCTCCCTAATGTCTTTATTAAACTCTTAAAAGTTACTGTTAGCAAATGAAGTACATATTAAAAAATAGTTAAACCATTTTGTGTTGGTTGTTTTTTCTTATTTTTGAGACAAATACCTGAGGCCCCAAATTAGGGAAGGAAAGGTTTATTTAGCTTACAGTGTGTTTGACTTTTCACTCCATACTCAGCTGGCTCCAAGACAGAGTGGCATGGCTATGGGGCAACAGTTCATGGTGTCACAAGCCACAAAATGAACAGGGCAAAAAAGGGAAAAGCAGGCATCGTTCTCTCCCATATATTGTATGCTGGATTCTTGCACTCACACTGCCAATTCCAGTACTAGACAATGAACCAATCACAAATGCTAGACTCAACCATCTCTGACTGTGTGTGGCTTAAATAAACCATAACACATTTCTTACATTACCAGATTTTTTAAAGATCAAACCTAATAATTTAAGTCAATGCCTACTCCAGATATTTGTTCTCAACAATTATCTTCCAACATTTTTGGTAACCCACTGTCCTCAACTCTAATTCAATCAACCTCCTGACCTTCATCACTCTGTCCAAAATATAATGCTCTACTTGGAAATGCATTTTTTTTTAAATTTACTGACTTCTGATCCCTCCATTTGATCAATTTTTTAAAATTTCTTTTTTTGCCAAGGAACACTTTCATGAACAATGACTTTATGGAATATTCCTTGGTAAGAAAGACTTTATTTTCCAAGACACAAGAAATAGTAAGGAATTTCTTTATTCTTCATAATTTATGTTGGAGATTGAAACCATATCATTCAATTAAATTTCTTTTTATTTCTCATAATTCACATAAAATATCATCTTATTTCTGGGGACTAGACAAAGGTCATCCATTTGTGTTCCCATAGCATTAATTTTACATTCTCAGAATTATCACCTCAGATTACAGTGATTTTTATTTCTTTAAAATTACTACAGAATGAAGAATGTTGTAAGGAGTTATTTTCCTTATACATTAGTCCCAAGCACAGTGACAAACACAGAGTAATATCCCAGCAAATAATCAAAGGAGCATAATACTAAATGGTCACATTTCAAATATCAAAATCTCTGTTAGATTCTGAGAATCTCATGTGAAATTAAAATTTGCAACTTTATTTGATTTAAAGTAAGTTTCTGCTTCTTATTAAAGTAAGATTCTATTTCTTATTAAAATATATAAAAAGTGTCTAAAGTTTAATATACTTCATGCTTTCTCTTAGATGAGGTTTTTTTTTTTTTTTTTTTTTTTCCTTTTACAGAGACAAAATGGCTAAAAATGGCTTATTTGCCTCTTTAACACCCATTTTGAAAAACAGGAATTGTTTTAACTTTCCAACCTTCAATTTTGGTTTGGTTATTTTGCACTTTTTTTTTTTTTTTACTATAAATACTTTTCTTAGAAATATGCTCTGTCTTTGGTAGAACAGTTGTAATTTTAACAAAGCAATGTGGGCTACCAATCCAGGAAAAAGTCAAAGAATGATATCTTCCTCTCATGCTTTAATCACTCTCATCTGTTTTCAAAGAATGCATCAACCAGAAACCTAATGTTCAGTTAATAATCAGCCAGTTATGCTACATACATGCATCTAGTAATATCCTTTAAGTAAGATCATTGAAGCACATTTCTCCATACAGTATAAGCAAGTCTTCCAGCAGACAGAATACTAATTCTAAAATCAGACTAAAGATATGTCTGAGTAAATTTCTAATTTTCTGTAAATAAAAGCACTGGTTTCTACCAGTAGTCTTCAAATGTTGCCCTTCAGAAACTTTAAGAGCTTGGAGTAAAGTAGTCCAAGACCTAAAAGAAAACAACTTCCAATGCATATTAACGTACCATGCAAAACAACTTTTCAGAATTAATGGAAGAATAAGATACTTCCATGATAAAGTACAACTGAAAAAATTCATGAACATCAAGCGAGCTTTTAAAAAGAGTTCTAAACGATATTCTACAAAGAGAAACAAATGAGCACAATTTCAAGAATACCAATAGAAAAAAAAAAAAACAAACAGCCAGAGTAGGCAATTAAACAGATGCAAAAGACAAGGAACAAACAGCAGAAAAGTAATATACAAGGATAAGCCAATAGATATCTGTTATAATCATCAATGTAAATGGTATCAATTCACCAATCAAATAAAATAAACTGAAAGACTGAATCAAGAAGCAAGATCCAACAATATGCTGTGTACAAGAAACACATTTGACTCAAAAAAGAAATTCTTAGACTAAAAGTCAAAGGATGGAAAGCAATATTTCACGTAGCTACTCTTCTTGCAGACAATGTGAACTTCAAGCCAAGACTGATCAAAAGAGATAAAGAAGGTCACTATCTCTTTTTAAGGGAAAATTCCAAAAAATAAGAGATAACAATCATAAATATATATGCACCAAATATAGAAGAAACCAATTATATAAAAATATATTGATGAACATGAAAAACTAAATAAGCACTATCACAGTAGTAATTGGGAAACAATACCCCACTGTCAAAAATAGATAGATCAACTAGACAAAAAAGAAATAGCAGGACTTAAACCATTGAGTAAATGGACTTAATGTCTGCACAGTGTTCAATACTACAACATGAGAATACACACTCTTCACAGCTGCACATGGGAATATCCTCCAAAATAAACTATATATTGGCCCATAGAATATTTTTAAGTAGAGCAAAGAAGTTTTTATCTAACCATAGTGCCATGAAATTGAAAGTCAATGGCAAAAGAAATCACAAAAACCCTATTCACACATGGAAATTAAATATCACCCTACTGAACAACCAAGAGTTCATAGGTGAAACTGAAGAAAAAACTTATTAGAATCAACAACTAAATGTTAAGCAGATACAAAATACTGAATGTTTTGGGACACAATGAAAGCAGCCCTAGGATTGAAATTTATAGTAGTGTATTCTCATATCAGAAAAACAACATAAGCTCAAACAGACAAAAATAACAAGGAACTCCAAACACCTAGAAAATGAATAAGTCAAGTACAGAGCTGGTATGAGAGAAGAAATTATAAGGGTCAGAGCAAAAATGAATGCAATTGAGGTTAAAAAAAACAGTACAAAGAAACAATGAACAAAAGAGGTGATTTTAGGAAAATTAACTAAATTTGATAAACTTATAGTCTACCTTACCAAAAACAAAAAGGAAAGAAAAGACTCAAAATCATGCAATAAGGAATAAAAAGGGTGAAATCACTACAAATTCTGTGGAAATTCAGAAGACCATGATTATCTAATTTGAGAATTTTTATTCAAATAATGTGGAAAAAACAGAAAAAATGAACAGATTCTTACAACATATGAATTATAAAAACTGAGTCAAAAAAATGTAAAAATCCTAAATAACCTGATATCAGTCAATGAAACTGAGAATGCAACTAAAAACTTACCAAGAAAGAAAATATCAGGTTCTGATGGATTCCTAACTGAATTCTATAAGAAATATAGAAATTATATAATTTCATTGTTCTCAAACTCTTTAATGAAATTGAAATTGAAGTATTGCCCTGATACTTAAACCAGAGAGTTCAACCAAAAAAAAAAAAAAAAAAAAGAGAATAACAGGCCAATTTCCATAATAAACATAGTTGCAAAAATCCTCAATAAGATACTGGCAAACAAACTGCAGCAAATCATCTAGAAGGTTATGTATGCACCATGATCAAGTAGGATTCATTGCAGGGAGCAAGATGGCTCAACATATGGAAATCAATAAATTAAATGTACCACATTAACAAACCCAAGGACAGACACCAGATGATCATCTCAGAAAAAGCATTTGACAAAGTTCAACAACTATTCATGATTTAAAAAAAAAAAAAAAAAAAAAACCCACAGAAAATTGGAATAAATGGCCTTTATCTCAATCTGACAAAAACCATCTATGGCAAACTAACAGCCAATATCACATTAAGCTTCACAAAAATGAAACCTTTCATTCTAAAATCAGAAACAAGACAAGATTGTGCACGTCAACATGCTTATTCAGTATATTTCTGGCAACATTATCCAGAGCAATGAGCAAACAGAAAGAAATAAATGAAATTAAAATAGGAAAGGAAAAAGTTAAATTATCATTCTTTGCAGATGACATGATTCTTTACATATAAGATCCCAAAAACTCCACCAAAAGACTTCTAGGTTGAATAACCAGATTCTATAATGTAGCTGGATACAAAATCAACACTCACAAAATCAGTATCATTCTTGTGCACATATAACAAACTCACTGAGAGAGAAATTATAGAAACAACACCTTTTACAATAGCATTAAAAGATGAAATACTTAGGAATCAATCTAAGATCTCTACACTGAAAACTACAATATTCTGAAAAAAAGAGATAAAAGAGAATGTCAGAAAATGAACAGACATCCCTTGCTTTTGTGTAGGAAAAACCAACATAGTGAAAATGACCATACTTCCAATATTTTTATACAGATTTAATGCAGTCCCAATCAAAATACCATCAGCATGCCACCCAGAACTACAGAAAACATCCTTAAAATATTTTGGAATCAGAAAAGACATAGAAGAGCAACAACAATTCTGAGCAACAAAAGCAAGGCAGAGGACATCACAATCCTTGACTTAAAATTATGTCATAAAGCAACTGTGATGAAAGCAGCATGGAGCTGGAAAAAACAAAGTGATTCTCGGGTCAGTGGAACAGATCAGATGATGAAACAACTCCAAACACAGTCATCTGAGCTTTGCAAAAGAGGCCAAACACATTCACTGGAAGAATAAATGCTGCTGGGAAAAAAAAGACAGTTCATATGTCTAAGACTACAACTAGACACATGTCTATCACTATGCATTAAATTAAAATCAAAATGGATCAGAGATCTAAATATTAAAACAAAAACACTAAATCTACTGGAAGACCAAACAGGTAGGTCTCTTAAAGGTGTAGATGTAGGCCAAGACATCATGAACAAAATCTCAATTATACACAAGTATGACTAAGAATTAATACCTGGGATCTCATCATATTAAAAAGTTTTGCATAGCAAAGAAATAACAAATAT